CTCTTAGGCTATGTACCAGCTTCCAAGGACTGCCTGTATGCCCTTCTAGCTAATCCCATCACAGCCTTATGACGTACTGTTGTTTCCAGTTTCTACAGGACAGGGAAACTGTGGGCCAGAAATATAAATTCCTAGAATATGTATGCCCCATGTGTGCTGGAGGCCAGAAGAAGGTGTTGGGTCCCCTGGACCTGGAATTACAGGCAGTTGTTGTGACGGCTCCGAGGTGTGAGCCTGTTTCCCTCTGGTCTGAAGGTCAGAGAGTTTGAGCTTGCTCAGTTGTGAGCTACTTGACGTGGTGCTGGGAATGGAACTGGAATCCTCAGGAAGAGCAGTAAGCACTCAGCTGCCGAGCCACTCTCCGACTCCTGCATGAATTTGTTTTTGGTTAAGTAGTCAGGACCAAATAACTTGTATTTGTGTCCTAAAAGGTCAGCAGTCATTTGAAAGATCAACTCGCTTAAGTTGAAGGAAAAAAACTGTTTATATTCCTTGTCTGATAACTGGAGCCCCGTAGTATTGGGTTGTGTGTCCTGTGGGCCCTCACAACTCTTCAGAGCTTAGCATTCACACTGCTATCATGGCTTATCTCGGCTGTCAAGCTGACTACATCTGTAAGCCCCAGCTGCTGTGTGCTCCTGTGAGGGGTTTTCTTAATCAGATTATTTGAAGCAGGAAACCCTGCCCTAAGTTTGAGCCACACTTTCTGGTGGCAGTCTATATAAAAGGACACAGAAGAAGGAAACTTTGAGTTTGGCCTGCTTGGCCTCACTTTCACTGGCAAGTTCGCCTATCCTGTTGTTGTGGCCGACATTAAATCCAAATTCTTCAGGGTTCCAAGGCAGACTGAAAACCAGTAGCTCTCCAGTAATCTTTCTGGACTCCAGCCCCAGGATGGGATGGCAGAGATATTTGACTGTGTGAACTGAACACCACCAGATTCTTGACCTTTCTGTCATGAGACAGCCACTGTGGGACTACCCACCACCACGTCCTGCTAGCCAGTCTAATAAATCACACACACACACACACACACACACACACACACACACACACACACACGTGTGCACACACAATTAGCTCTGTTCCTTTAGAGAATTTTACTAATACTCCAACCTTGTTTCTTATTTCTGTAATCACTGAAAAGCCACTTGTGCAAAGACATGATATCATCAAAAACAACATTGCACCAATGAGGCTATAACTGTGACCTCCCTGAACTGTGGTTTGAATACACTTGACACATATTTCTCTGCTTCTCTGGAGTATTTAAGGTAACCTTGGTGCCTTCATCCTGAGACTGTGCTTCAGAGCCCAGGACCAGTTTCACTGGACCAAAGTTTCTTAGACAAGCTACATGAACAGTCTTAAGTCTGTTTGGACTGGTACAGTAAGCCATCTTAGACCAAGAAGCTTAAGCAAAGGCATAGGGGTTAGGGAGATGACTCAGGCAGTAGAGTTCCTGCCTGGTAAACAGAGGCAGAGCTTTTCTTTTGTGACTACCTGGTCCCAAATAATCACACGAAAGCTTATATTAGTTACAGAATGTTTGGCCTATAGCTCAGACTTATTACTAACTAGCTCTTGCAACTTAAATGAATCCACTACTATTAATTTACATTTTGCCACATGCCTTCACGTCTTTACCTGTTCTCTAGCACATCTTATTCCTCTGGTGACTGACTTGCATCCTCCTCTGACTCTGCCCTTCTCCATGCATCTCTGCTTGGCTTTCCCACCTGGCCTTTTTCTGTCTTGCTATAGGCCAAAGCAGCTTCTTTAGTAAGCAGTGAGAGAAACACATATTCACAATCCCACAGCACTGCCTTGCAAGTAAGAAGACCTGAGTTTGACCTCCAGAATCCTGTGTGGGTGGTGGGAATCTTGGCATGGTTTCATGTACTTGTAACTCCACTACTGAGGAGGTGGAGACAAGGGGAATCTCTGGGGCCTGTTGACCAGCCAGCCCAGCTGAGCTGTTGCTTTGAAATTTGACACCTGAAGCTGTTCTCCATAAACTCTGGTTTCTACACACATGCACACACAAGCAAGCACACCTGCGCATACATACACACACGCATGCACATAAAGACTCAAAAGAATGGATCATAATTATTCTTTTATAGTGTAGAAGGCCTGACCTTTGTACCAGCAAGGCTGCATTCTGGTAAGAGCTCTCTTCCTGGTTTGCACAAAGCCGCCTTCCAGCATGAGTTTTTAGGTGGAGACTGAATGATCTCTTTCCCCCTTCTCTTTTCATAAGGTCATTGGTCCCACCCAGTAAGATGCCTCATCCTCATAACAGGGCTATCTGTAAGTACCATCATATTGATGGTGAGGGCTTCAATGTGGGAATGAGAGGGACAAACATGGGTGTCTCAGTACACTACTTGGGGGACTGTGAGTCTTTAGGGAAAGACTAGTGGGAAGGAAGAGTTCTGGAGCCTGAGCAGTCTAGATTCTGAGCTGCTGTGTGTCCATCTCAGCCATGTGCTGGCTCTGTCAGAAACGGGTTCATTCATCCAGCAGATATCTGAGAACTGACGTATGGCGTCAGCCACCACAAGGCTGAACGGAGAAGGAACAGAGAGGACGTGGCTCTAGGGGTTGTTAGGCAGCCCTCGCAATACCTGGGGAAATCACTGCAAGTCAGATGTAAGTGAAGGAAGTGCCAAGTACAGCCAGGTGCCGAGAGGGGTTTCTGATGAGCGAGGGCAAGGCTGACGTCCTTGCTCCGATCTTCCCAGTGCCTGGGGTTACAGACATCTCTCCACTGCCATGACTGGTTTCTGTGGTTCTCTGGTCCCCATGTGTGCTGAGCTAACACTTTACCAGCTGAACTATATCTCCAGTTGGTTTGGGGAAAGAAGGAAGTCACTCCTAGAATTATGTGTTTAAGCTGGAGAAGAAATAAAGTGGGTTTCAAAAGGCATCTTGCCAACCCTGAAGGCTGCTGTAGACATAGTGGGTGGGTTGGGCTAGCCTGGGGTGACACATCTGGGGCAGGGACCTGCTGAGCCTCCTGGTATTGCTAAATATCAAGAAGAGACCTGTTTCAGAGGGGACCAAGCTACCTGGGTCTTGAGCGGCTACAAAAGGTTGACTTTAGGAAGCGGCCACTTCTGTCCTTGACTGACTCAACCCTAGCTGGTCACCGACTTGGTTCCAGTGTGTCATGCCTGCCACTTTTCTGGAGACATTGCTCTTGTTTTAGGCTTACATTTTCTGGAAACTGATTCTTCAGGTTTATGGTAAATGTGCTTGCTTTGAGATTTCAACTTGTCTTCCTGTCAAGATGAAGGTTAAGGAGAAAGGGTAGGTCAGGGGAGGGAGACATCTGACCCCACTCCTCCAGACTGCCAGAGGGACTGTACAATGCACATCTTGCCTTTGATGCAGGCAATTTTGGGGTGACTTTGAGCTTGAAGGAAGCCTTTCTTCTCACCTCAGGTGGACTTTAGTTAGGGATCTAGGATGTCATGTGCTCATCGTCACCCCAAACTTCCACTGAGCCAGTGACTTTTTGGAGTTTTTGTTTGTTTGTTTTTAAAGACAGGGTTTCTCTGTGTAGCCCTGGCTGTCCTGGAACTTTCTCTGTAGACCAGGTTGGCCTCAAACTCACAGATCTACCTGCCTCTGCCTCCCAAGTTCTGGGGTTACGGTGTGTGCCACTGCACCCTGTTGGCTTTGGTGTCTTGTGTCTTGGATTCATGAACTATGGAGGTTGAGTTTCAGAGAAAAAAGTTTTGCTATATAGCGTCATCGATAAGAGTGAATGAGAAAGAGAGAGAGGGAAGTGGAGAGAGAGAGAGAGAGAGAGAGAGAGAGAGAGAGAGAGAGAGAGA